AGGGGCCCGAAGGTGATCGCTGCCCCAGGGCCCGACAAGGCTCTCGACGGCCCTGGTCGCGGTGACAGTAGGCGGTAATTTGTAGCAGGTTATTTATTTATACAGCCTTTGTATAATGACTGAGTGCGCCTACTACGGTTCGGTAGGCGCATACATGGCAACGTAAATGTTGCCGAAAGAGGAAAGAAAATTACCTGTTTTACCAAATTAAATGTCAAAATGCCAATTTGCCAAAATAAAAGAAAGAAAACCAGACCAATTTGACACAAAAAAGGACCCAAAAAAACGTTTACAGCCAAATTAATTCTGGCCGAATACAAACTGAGTTAGCAAAGCGCTACGTAAGATCGTCAGTTGTTTTAAGTCACTCTGAAGATGTAGAATTATTACTTTTTTCCTATTTTGGCTTTCCACATCGTGTTCGTGTTTGAGCATCGTATTCACAACAGAGGGAAATAATTTCCACGTGATTCATTTCCATTGGAACTAAGCTGTGACCTCTGTAATAAGCTGTGCGATAAATTCCTGCATGTGTTTTGACAGATGTGTCTGATGTGACGAGGCATAAGCTATCTCTCTCTCGCTCTCTCTCTCTCTCTCTCTCTCTCTCTCTCTCTCTCTCTCGGTCTCTCTGTCTCTCTCTATTTCTTTCTCTCTCTCTCTCTCTCTCTCTCTCTCTCTTTATCTCTCTCACATACACTCTCTCTCTCGGTCTCTCTGTCTCTCTCTATTTCTTTCTCTCTCTTTATCTCTCTCACATACATTCTCTCTCTCTCTCTCTCTCTTTCTTTCTCTCTCTCTCTTTATCTCTCTCACATACACACGCGCTCTCTCTCTCTCTTTCTCTCTCTCCCTTTATCTATCTCACATACACACAAACTCTCTCTCTCTCTCTCTCTCTCTCTCTCTCTCTCTCTCTCTCTCTGTGTTTCTCTCTTTCTCTTTCTCACTCACTCACTCACTCACTCACTCACTCACTCACTCACTCACCCACTCATTCACTCATCCACCCACTCAGCCACTCACTCACTCTCTCGCTCACTCTTTCACTCACTCACTCACCCACTCATTCACTCACCCACCCACTCACCCACTCACTCACTCTCTCGCTCACTCTTTCACTCACTCACTCACCCACTCATTCACTCACCCACCCACTCACCCACTCACTCACTCTCTCGCTCACTCTTTCACTCACTCACCCACTCACTCACTCACTCACTCACCCACTCACTCACTCACTCACTCACTCACTCACTCACCCACTCACTC